CCCACGGGGACCCCACAGCACCCAGGGGACCCCACAGCACCCATAGGGACCCCCACAGCACCCAGGGGACCCCACAGCAGCTGTGCGGACACGCAGCACCCACCACCTCCCCCCTGGCACCCACGGGTGCCCCTCCCGCGCTCCCATCGTTCCCGTGTCCCCCCCCGTGTCCCCCCCCGTGTCCCCCCGTGTCCCCCCAGCCCGGTATAAGAGGGGGCGAGGGGGCCGCTCCCCCCCACCCGCGATGGCGGCCCCGGGGGGGACGGAGCCGGAGCGCGCCGCGGTGAGGGGGGGTCCGGGGGGACCCTAGGGTGGGGTTTGGGGGTCTGGGGGGCACCCCTGGGTGGGGTTTGGGGGGTCCGAGGGGGCACAGAGGGGTCTGGGGGGCACCCCTGGGTGGGGTTTTGGGGTCCGGGCAGAGGGGGGGTCCCTGTTTCAGGAGTCCCTATTTTGGGGGAGGGGGTGTCTCTATTTTTTGGGGGGGTCTCTACTTTGGGGGGGTCCCTGTTCCGGGGGGTTCCCCGGGCAGAGGGGGGGTCCCTGACTCGCTGTCCCCTCAGGGGGGGTCCCCGGCCCAGGGGGGGTCCCCGGCCCAGGGGGGGTCCCCGGAACAGGAGGGATTCTTCTCGCTGCTCAGCTCCGTGCAGGGCTCGCGCATGGAGGAACAGCGCTGCACCCTGGGGGGTGAGGGGACACCGGGGGGACACCGGGGGGGACACCGGGGAGGGGACACCGGGGGGACACGGGGACACCGGGGAGGGGACACCGGGGGGACACCGGGGGGGACACGAGGACACCGGGGAGGGGACACCGGGGGGGACACCGGGGGGGACACCGGGGGGACACCGGGGGGGACACCGGGGACACCGGGGGGACACCGGGGGGGGGACACCGGGGAGGGGACACCGGGGGGACACCGGGGGGGACACGAGGACACCGGGGGAGCACATGGGTGAGGGGACACCGGGGGGACACGGGACACCAGGGAGACACCGGAGAGGGGGGACACGGGGACACCGGGGAGGGGACACCGGGGGGACACCCCGGGGGTGACACGGGGAGGGGACACCGACACCGGGAGGACACAGGGGGGACACTGGAGGGACAACGGGGGGGACACCGGGGGACACGGGTGAGGGGACATGGGGGGGACAGGGAGGGGGACACGCGAGCCACGGGTGGCACGGGGGGGAGACAGAACGGGACACGAATTTGGGGACACGAAAGGGATGGGGCAGGGGGGGTTGGTGGGTGACCCGGGGGTCCCCGAGGTGTCCCTGTGTGATTTGGGGGTCCCTGGGTGCCCATGGGTGACCCGGGGGGTCTGTGGGGGTCCCTGGGTGATTCGGGGGTCCCTGGGGGTCCCTGGGTGACCTGGGGGTTCCTGGGGGTCCTTGGGTGATTCAGGGGCCCCTGGGTGATTCGGGGGTCCCTGAGGTGTCCCTGGGTGACCCAGGGGTCCCCCCCCGGGCAGGGGGAGGGGACCCGCCGCCCCCCGAGCTGGCATCGCTGCTGGACATGGTGGCGAGCTCGCAGGGCCGCAGGATGGACGAGCAGCGGCTGCCGGTGCCCAGACTGCCCGGCTTCGGTACCGGGGGCGCGCAGGTGGGCACGGGGGGGCGCAGGTGGGCACGGGGGGAGGCACGAGGGGGCTCAGGTGGGCACCGGGGGAGGCACGAGGGGGCTCAGGTGGGCACGGGGGCGC